GCGAGGAAAGTAATAGGTAGGGAAGGAAGGACGGTGAGAAGAAGAGAAAGAGGGAAGGAGAGAAGGAAGGAAAGAAAGAAGGATAGAGAAGGAAGGAAGGAGGGAAGGAGAGAAGGAAAGAAAGAAAGGTAGGGAAGGAAGGAGAGAAGGAGGGAGAGAAAGAGGGAAAGAAGGAAGGAAGGAGAGAAAGAAGAAAAGAAAGAAAGGTAGAGAAGGAAGGAAGGAGAGAAGGAGGGAGAGAATGAAATAAAAAAGTGAAAGAGAGAAGGAACGAAAGAGAGAAAGAGGGAGGGAAGAAAGGAAGGAAAGAGACAAGGAAGGATGGAACCAAACAGCAAAGGAACCAAGAAGAGAAACGGGCAGAGAAGGAAGGAAGAAGAAGGGAAAGAAAGAAAGAAGGAGAGAAAGAGGGAGGGAAGGTTGGCCACAGCAATGCGTGGCGGGTACAGCTAGTAATATAATATATTGAGTCCCCTTCGGGGTGAGAAGGGTAGCCTATAAATGCTGCAAATAAATAAAAAAAATTAAAAAAAAATTAAAATGTATAAAATATATAAAATAAAAATATAAAATAAATATGAAATATAAAATATAATATAATATAATATAAAATAAAATATAATATAAAATACAAAATAAAATATAATATAAAATAAATAAATAAATGGGTTCATATCCATAGAAGCTAGTGAGTCTTGTTCCTGGTGTGACTCTTAAACTGGTGTGAATCCAAACCACTGTGTACTCCATCTCTTCCAGTGCGCCGAAGCATGCTGAATGCCATTGGGGACACTTGCGGAGCGCTCTGCACCCCTGTCACCGAGCACCGAATCCTAATGAACGTTTCTCCTTGTTTCCTCCACAGGAATCGATTTCAAAATCCGAACAATAGAGCTAGACGGGAAGAAGATCAAGCTACAGATATGGTAAGTTCCTTGGAGGAGAATGTGCCATGCTCCGCAAAGACGGCGTCCTTGGCCATGGCTTCCGGCATCTCTCTCTTGGGATCTCCGCAACATTATCTGGGAAGAATTAGCAACTGTTTGCAGGGCTATATACAGATATTAGTAAAACAGTAGCTGCCGAGTCTGTACGAAAGGGACGGGAATGGGGTATTCATGCTTGAGTAGTGAAGCTCACCCGTTGAATTGTAAAGTTTTCAGTAGAGGCCTCTTGAGGGGTTGTGTGTCTTGATAAGGAGACGCCTTTCCCCGTCCAGAGAGCAGATGGGGCTTAGGCCTAAGGCTTATCAACACTCAAAAGCCCGTTCCCTCCCCTTCTCGCCTTGTTTTGTGTCCAAAGGAGATTTTGGCGCCCCCCCCCCCAACCAATCATTGACATATATTTTCTGTTCGTCGTGGGAGTTCTGTGTGCCATATTTGGTTCAATTCCATCATTGGTGGAGTTCAGAATGCTCTTTGATTGTAGGTGAACTATACATCCCAGTAACTACACTTGCTGCACTTGCTCCTTTGCCTGGCCCGCTTTAGGTCCGGAGGCGTGCCTGAAGACCCCGGCGTGTGCACCAAAAGTCACCTCTTCTCCTGACTTTCTCCTCAGCCATTGGGACAAGAGAGAGAGAGAGAGAGAGAGGTGGAGATGACCACCTTTCCTGAAGGTAGGCGCAAAAACAAAGGAGGGAGCGGAGGTGGGAGATACCTCCAGCCGGAGGGGCTCTCTCTCTCTCTCTCTCTCTCTCTCTCTCTCTCCCAATGGCTGAAGAGAAAGTCAGGAGAAGAGGCGACTTTTTGGTAGGTGGAGATGCCCACCTTTCCTGAAGGTAGGCGCAAAAACAAAGGAGGGAGCGGAGGTGGGAGATACCTCCAGCCGGAGGGGCTCTCTCTCTCTCTCTCTCTCTCTCTTGGTCCCAATGGCTGAAGAGAAAGTCAGGAGAAGAGGCGACTTTTGGTGAGAGGTGGAGATGCCCACCTTTCCTGAAGGTAGGCGCAAAAACAAAGGAGGGAGCGGAGGTGGGAGATACCTCCAGCCGGAGGGGCTCTCTCTCTCTCTCTCTTGGTCCCAATGGCTGAAGAGAAAGTCAGGAGAAGAGGCGACTTTTGGTGCGCACGCTGGGGTCTTCAGACACGCCTCCAGACCCAAAGCGGGCCAGGCGTGGTGGCTCCGCCCCTTGGCCCACTCGCGGATTGGGGAGAGGAGAGGAGGCGGGTGGAGCGCCGGGGGATCGGGAAAGGGAGCCGGTCATGGGGAAGGGATCGAACGCAGAGAACAATTGAGCGCCAGCTCTGCTCGCGCACCCGGTGGCCGGGTGGAGCAGGAACGAGAGGGGCTAGGCGAGGCTCAAGGGCCCGGCCCCTTTGGGAAGAGGATTGCCCGGCAGCGAGGCAAGAAAGCCGAGGCTCCCCCCAGACTGCTAGGGCTGTTGTGAGCTGAGGGGGCGCTCCTCAAGTGGCGGTCGAAGGGCATTTACAAAGGCGCCTCTGCACCCCTGGCAAAAAAAAGTGTTCTGTGACGGCTTACTTTGCGTAATGGACGAGCCGCCCTTGACCCTGGCCAACACACATTTTGGTGCCTCAGATGTTCAACCTGTTTCCAGGTATATCTGGCCTGCTGATTCCAAAGATGGCTCCGTTTTTCCCTTCTCAGTTTTTGAGATACAGAACGTATGCCCTTTGGGGAGATAAAGGGGGGTATAAGGCATAATAATAATAATAATAATAATAATAATAATAATAATAATAATAATAATAATATAACATAACAATAATAATAATATAACAACAATAATAACAACAATAATAATAACAATAATAACACTTTATTTGTACCCCGCTACCATCTCCCCAAGGGACTCGGTGTGGCTTACATGAGGCCGAGCCCACAATACATTAATAAACAGAACATCAATAAAATAAAACATCAATAAACAATTAATACAATATATTGTCGAAGGCTTTCATGGCCGGAATCACTGGGTTGTTGTAGGTTTTTCCGGGCTATATGGCCATGTTCTAGAGGCATTCTCTCCTGACGTTTCTATGGCAAGCATCCTCAGAGGGATTGAGGTCTGTTGGAAGTAGGAAAATGAGTTTATATATCTGTGGAATGACCAGGGTGGGACAAAAGACTCTTGTCTGCTGGAGCTAGGTATGAATGTTTCAACTGACCACCTTAATTAGTTGGTTGTTGTAGGTTTTTTCGGGCTATATGGCCATGGTCTAAAGTCATTTTCTCCTGACATTTCGCCTGCATCTATGGCAAGCATCCTCAGAGGGAGTGAGGTCTGTTGGAACTAGGAAAATGGGTTTATATATCTGTGGAATGACCAAGGCGAGACAAAGGACTCTTGTCTGCTGGAGCTAGGTGTGAATGTTTCAACAGAAAGGAAGAAACCATGAAAATGAACAAAATCTGGCTACCAGTATTAAAAAACTCAAAAATTACAACAGCAAACTACAGAGGGTAAACAGGTGCATCAAATCACCTCTCAACAAAAAATTGCCCCAAGCAATGCTAATCAAGGTGGTCAGTTGAAACATTCACACCTAGCTCCAGCAGACAAGAGTCCTTTGTCCCACCTTGGTCATTCCACAGATACATAAACCCATTTTCCTAGTTCCAACAGACCTCACTACCTCTGAGGATGCTTGCCATAGATGCAGGCGAAACATCAGGAGAGAATGCTAGAGGCACTGCCAGGCCATCCAATGCTAATCAAGTTGGTCAGTTGAAACATTCACACCTAGCTCCAGCAGACAAGTGTCCTTTGTCCCACCTTGGTCATTCCACAGATATATAAACCCTTTTTCCTACTTCCAACAGACCTCACTACCTCTGAGGATGCTTGCCAGAGATGCAGGCGAAATGTCAGGAGAAATGCCTCTAGACCATGACCATATAGCCCAGAAAAACCTACAACAACCCAATACAATATAAATCATAATCACGTGAACAAAATAGACAATAAGCAATTAACAGTAACATATAAACATTTAAAAGGAAAGGCCGGGCCAAATGTGATAGATTAAAATTAAAAAATAGTGCTGATGTGAACCAGGTAGGATATAATTGGGATAGGATTTTTAGAGAGAATGAGGGAATGCAGACAATCCTAAGGCAGTATATCCTCAAAAGTGCATTTTGAGGATATAATGCTGAGAGTTTTCCTTATTCTGGGAAGGCACACTGGAACAACCACGTTTCCAAGCTCCTCTTAAAGACTGCCAGAGTTGGGGCATGTCTGATGTCTCTGGGAAGTGAGTTCCATAGTCAGGGGGCCACCACCGAGAAGGCCCTCTCCCTCATCCCCACCAATCGCGCCTGCGAGAGAGGTGGGAGCATGAGCAGGGCCTCTCCAGATGATTGAAGAAATCGTGTGGGTTTGTATACAGAAATGCGGTCACGCAGGTAGGCGGGTCCCAAACCATTCAGGGCTTTGTAGGTAAGAACCTGCACCTTGAATTGGGTTCGGAAAATGAACGGCAGCCAGTGGAGCTCCTTCCAAGTCGCCCCGTCTTCTGTGTGCCCAGGGGGGAGTCTCTCATTTGGTTTCAGCCATTGGTTGAGGTTCTGGGTTTGAGCCTGCCACTTTTGGACTCTCGCTTGCTGAGTTGTTCCAGCGAGTGTCTCTGTAGATCTTACAAAACTATTTCTAGATTTAAGTCATTGATGTGCTGGCTGATAGCCAAACAAGGGATGAACTGGAGATGTCTCTGCCTTGGTCCTTTCACTATTGGCTGCTACTTCCCGGCGGATGTCAGGTCGTGCAACACCGGCTAAGCAGTGTAATTTCTCCAGTGGTGGAGGGCACAGACAACCCATGATAACGTGGCATGTCTCATTAAGAGCCACATCCAGTGTTTTAGTGTGGTGAGATGTGTTCCACACTGGGCATGTGTACTCAGCAGTGGAGTAGCACAGCTCAAGGGCAGATGTCTTCACTGTGTCTGGTTGTGATCCCCAGGTTGTGCCAGTCAGCTTTCGTATGATATTGTTCCTAGCACCCACTTTTTGCTTGATGTTCAGGCAGTGCTTCTTGTAGGTCAGAGCACGGTCCAGAGTGACTCCTCCCAGGGATTTGGGTGCAATGCTGCAATGTTCCCGTGGGATTCCTTCCTTCCCAGGTAATAATCCTCAGAGCTCAGGATGCTTGTCTGTTCTTGAGGTGAAAAGCACATGTCTGTGTTTTAGATGGATTAGGGATCAGCTGGTTTTCCCTGTAATAGGCAGTAAGAGCACCTGGAGCTTCGGAGAGCTTCTGTTCAATCATCTCAAAGCTCCCTGCTTGAGCGGTGATGGCATGATCATCAGCATAGATGAAGTTCTCTGTCCCTTCTGGCAGTGGCTGGTCATTTGTGTAGATGTTNGGAGAGCTTCTGTTCAACCATCTCAAAGCTCCCTGCTTGGGTGGTGATGGCATGATCATCAGCATAGATGAAGCTCTCTGTCCCTTCTGGCAGTGTGTAGTTATTTGTGTTGATGTTGGACATGGATGGAGCAAGCACGCTCCCCTGAGGCAGGCTGTTCTTCTGTGTCCGCCATCTGCTTCTCTGGCCCTGGAACTCAACAAAAAAGCTCCTGTTTGGTAGCAGGTTTCCTATGAGGCGGGTGTGGCGGTCGTGCTTTGTGATATTATATATATGATATATGATTATGGATCAGCTAATTTTCCCTGTAATAGGCAGTAAGGGCATCTAGAGCTTCGGAGAGCTTCTGTTCAACCATCTCAAAGCTCCCTGCTTGGGTGGTGATGGCATGATCATCAGCATAGATGAAGCTCTCTGTCCCTTCTGGCAGTGTGTAGTTATTTGTGTTGATGTTGGACATGGATGGAGCAAGCACGCTCCCCTGAGGCAGGCTGTTCTTCTGTGTCCGCCATCTGCTTCTCTGGCCCTGGAACTCAACAAAAAAGCTCCTGTTTTGTAGCAGGTTTCCTATGAGGCGGGTGAGGTGGTCGTCCTTTGTGATATTAGACATTTTTCTCAGGACGAGGCAATGGTGGTTCACAGTCTCATAGTCTGCTGACAGGTCTATGAAGACAGCTCCCGTGATGTGCTGCCTTTCAAAGCCATCTTCTATGTGCTGAGTCAGGTTCAGGTCTTGCGATGTATGCCTATGAAACTCACGCATCTCCCCTTGTCTTCCAGGGACACTGCAGGCCAGGAAAGGTTTCGCACCATCACGACCGCCTACTACAGAGGAGCCATGGTAAGGGCTTGCGTTTCGGCTTGGCTTGGTTGTTGTCCTCACGAAAGCATCCCATTCCAGAGTAGCAAGGATTGCCCCGTCCCACCAGTCAACCTTTGGTGGCGGGGCCATCTTTAATATGGCTGTTATTTATTTCTTTATAACCCTCTGGTGGCGCAGGGGGTTCAACCGCTGAGCGGTGGAACTTGCTGTCCAAAGGGTTGGCGGTTTGAATCCGGAAAGCAGGGTGAGCTCCTGTTGAAATGAGAAATGTGGTAGAGACAACAGGGATGGAAAGGAATACCAAAGTATGAGAAATGAGGAGGAAAATATTGCACAAATGGCATCGTACACCCTGCCAATTAGCATACTATAAAAAGGGGAGTAGTCAGTGATGGCGTGGATGGCATCAGAAAGGGCACGTGATGTGAGAATGTGAATACGTACAAGATTTTTGGCAGATTATACAAAACGAGTCAAACCAAAGACTAGGAAATGAGTGGGTCATAACAAAGGAAATGGCGGTATTAGGGAAAAGAGAGGAAAGGAGAAATAATAATAATAATAATAATAATAATAATAATAATAATAATAATCTTTATTTAATACTCCACCACCATCTCCCCAATGGGGACTCGGGGCAGCTTTCATGAGGCCAAGCCCAACAGCATATTACAATAAAGTAAAACCAAAACACAATAACAACACAGTAAAATACGTATAATAATAATAATAATAATAATAATAATAATAATAATCTTTATTTAATACCCCTCCACCATCTCCCCAATGGGGACTCGGGGCGGCTTACATGAGGCCAAGCCCAACAGCACATTACAATAAAGTAAAACCAAAACACAACAACAACACAGTAAAATACATACAACATATGAGTACATAAAATAATAATAATAATAATCTTTATTTAATAACCGCCACCATCTCCTCAATGGGGACTCGGGGCGGCTTACGTGAGGCCAAGCCCAACAGCATATTGCAATAAAATAAAACCAAAACACAATAACAACACTGTAAAATACATAATAATAATATTAATAATAATAATAATAATAATAATAAACTTTATTTAATACCCCGCCACCATCTCCCCAATGGGGACTCGGGGCAGCTTACATGAGGCCAAGCCCAACAGCATATTACAATAAAGTAAAACCAAAACACAACAACACAGTAAATAGTAATAATAATAATAATAATAATAATAATAATAATAATAATAATAATAATAAACATCTTTATTTAATACCACAATGGGGACTCGGGGCGGCTTACATGAGGCCAAGCCCAACAGCATATTACAATAAAGTAAAACCAAAACACAATAACAACACAGTCAAATACATCATAATAATAATAATAATAATAATAATAATAATAATAATAATAATAATCTTTATTTAATACCCCGCCACCATCTCCCCAATGGGGACTCGGGGCAGCTTACATGAGGCCAAGCTCAACAGCATATTACAATAAAGTAAAACCAAAACACAATAACAACACCACTTATAAGATAAATGGACACATAATAATAATAATAATAATAATAATAATAATAATAATCTTTATTTAATACCCCGCCACCATCTCCCCAATGGGGACTCGGGGCGGCTTACATGAGGCCAAGCCCAACAGCATATTACAATAAAGTAAAACCAAAACACAATAACAACACAGTCAAATACATAGTAATAATAATAATAATAATAATAATAATAATAATAATAATAATAATAATCTTTATTTAATACCCCGCCACCATCTCCCCAATGGGGACTCGGGGCGGCTTACATGAGGCCAAGCCCAACAGCATATTGCAATAAAGTAAAACCAAAACACAATAACAGCACAGTCAAATACATAATAATAATAATAATAATAATAATAATAATAATAATAATAATAATAATCTTTATTTAATACCCTGCCACCATCTCCCCAATGGGGACTCGGGGCGGCTTACATGAGGCCAAGCCCAACAGCATATTACAATAAAGTAAAACCAAAACACAATAACAACACAGTCAAATACATAATAATAATAATAATAATAATAATAATAATAATAATAATAATAATAATAATCTTTATTTAATACCCCGCCACCATCTCCTCAATGGGGACTCGGGGCGGCTTACCTGAGGCAAGCCCAACAGCATATTGCAATAAAGTAAAACCAAAACACAATAACAGCACAGTCAAATACATAATAATAATAATAATAATAATAATAATAATAATAATAATAATAATAATAATAATAATCTTTATTTAATACCCTGCCACCATCTCCCCAATGGGGACTCGGGGCGGCTTACATGAGGCCAAGCCCAACAGCATATTACAATAAAGTAAAACCAAAACACAATAACAACACAGTCAAATACATAATAATAATAATAATAATAATAATAATAATAATAATAATAATAATAATAATCTTTATTTAATACCCCGCCACCATCTCCTCAATGGGGACTCGGGGCGGCTTACCTGAGGCAAGCCCAACAGCATATTGCAATAAAGTAAAACCAAAACACAATAACAGCACAGTCAAATACATAATAATAATAATAATAATAATAATAATAATAATAATAATAATAATAATCTTTATTTAATACCCCGCCACCATCTCCTCAATGGGGACTCGGGGCGGCTTACATGAGGCCAAGCCCAACAGCATATTACAATAAAGTAAAACCAAAACACAATAACAACACAGTCAAATACATAATAATAATAATAATAATAATAATAATAATAATAATAATAATAATAATAATCTTTATTTAATACCGCCACCATCTCCCCAATGGGGACTCGGGGCGGCTTACCTGAGGCCAAGCCCAACAGCATATTACAATAAAGTAAAACCAAAACACAATAACAGCACAGTCAAATACATAATAATAATAATAATAATAATAATAATATAATAATAATAAACTTTATTTAATACCCTGCCACCATCTCCCCAATGGGGACTCGGGGCGGCTTACATGAGGCCAAGCCCACAGCATATTACAATAAAATAAAACCAAAACACAATAACAACACAATAAAATACATACAACATAATAATAATAATAATAATAATAATAATCTTTATTTAATACCCCACCACCATCTCCCCAATGGGGACGCGGCACAGCTTACATGAGGCCAAGCCCAACAGCCTATTACAATAAAGTAAAACCAAAACGCAATAACAACACAGTAAAATACATAATAATAATAATAATAATAATAATAATAATAATAATAATAATCTTTATTTAATACCCCGCCACCATCTCCTCAATGGGGACTCGGGGCGGCTTACCTGAGGCAAGCCCAACAGCATATTGCAATAAAGTAAAACCAAAACACAATAACAGCACAGTCAAATACATAATAATAATAATAATAATAATAATAATAATAATAATAATCTTTATTTAATACCCTGCCACCATCTCCCCAATGGGGACTCGGGGCGGCTTACATGAGGCCAAGCCCAACAGCCTATTACAATAAAGTAAAACCAAAACACAATAACAACACAATAATAATAATAATAATAATAATAATAATAATAATAATAATCTTTATTTAATACCCTGCCACCATCTCCCCAATGGGGACTCGGGGCGGCTTACATGAGGCCAAGCCCAACAGCCTATTACAATAAAGTAAAACCAAAACACAATAACAACACAGTCAAATACATAGTAATAATAATAATAATAATAATAATAATAATAATAATAATAATAATCTTTATTTAATACCCCGCTACCATCTCCCCAATGGGGACTCGGGGCGGCTTACATGAGGCCAAGCCCAACAGCATACTACAAGAAAGTAAAACCAAAACACAATAACAACACAGTAAATACATAATAATAATAATAATAATAATAATAATAATAATAATAATAATCTTTATTTAATACCCCGCCACCATCTCCCCAATGGGGACTCGGGGCGGCTTACATGAGGCCAAGCCCAACAGCATATTACAATAAAGTAAAACCAAAACACAATTGGGGAGATGGTGGTGTGGTATAAACAATTATTATTATTATTATTATTATTATTATTATTATTATTATTTTCTGGAGATGTCGCAATGGGCACTCGAGGCTCCCCAATGGGCACCCGAGAGCCCATTGGGGAGATGGTGGTGGGGTATAAACAAAGATTATTATTATTATTATTATTATTATTATTATTATTATTTTCTGGAGATGTCGTACTTGGCACCAGCGACATGATTGCATCCCATTTAGGATACCATAAAGCTTTTCCATGTGGAAACAGTTAGCAAACTTTGGGTACTGTGTTGTCGAAGGCTTTAATGGCTGGAATCAATGGGTTGTTGTATGTTTTTTGAGCTGTATGGCCATGTTCTAGAAGCATTCTCTCCTGACATTTTGCCTGCATCTGTGGCAGGCATCCTCAGAGAGTGTGAGGTATGTTGCAGGCGAAATGTCAGGAGAGAATGCTTCTAGAAGATGGCCGTACAGCCCGAAAAACCTACAACAACCCAAACTTTGGGACTTTTTGCAGGGAAGGCATCACTCAATCCTTGCACTTGTCATTTCTCCTCCAGGGAATAATGCTGGTCTACGACATCACCAACGAAAAGTCTTTCGACAACATTAAGAACTGGATACGGAACATCGAAGAGGTAGGCGGATAAGAGGCAAAACATGAGTTTTAATTGTGCAAAGGTTCCCCTAGACTTCAACTCCCACAATACCTAACAGTTGGTCACAAAGCAAATTAACTGAAGTGTTAACTTAATTTCATCGCATAATAGTCGCACCCCACATTTTCTGGGATGGCAACAGTGGCATTTTTGTGTTCCTCGCATAAGAGTTGCAGAGCCATTTGGGACTTCTTCCCCCTTCCTTCCTATTGAATGTGAGATCTGAAGGTCTAATGCAGGCGTGTGCAAACTTTGGCCCTCCCTCCAGGAGTTATGGACATCAACTCTCACAATACGTAACAGTTGGTTACAAAGTAAGTTAACTGAAGTGTTAACTTAATTTCATCGTATAATAGTCGCACCCCACATTTTCTGGGATGGCAACAGTGGCATTTTTGTGTTCCTCGCATAAGAGTCGCAGAGCCATTTGGGACTTCTTCCCCCTTCCTTCCTATTGAATGTTAGATCTGAAGGTCTAATGCAGGCATGGGCAAACTTTGGCCCTCCCTCCAGGTGTTATGGACTTCAACTTCCACAATACCTAGCAGTTGGTCACAAAGCAAGTTAACTGAAGTGTTAACTTTATTTCATTGCATAATAGTCGCACCCCACATTTTCTGGGATGGCAACGGTGGCATTTTTGTGTTCCTCGCATAAGAGTCGCAGAGACATTTGGGACTTCTTCCCCCTTCCTTCCTGTTGAATGTTAGATCTGAAGGTCTAATGCAGGAATGGGCAAACTTTGGCCCTCCCTCCAGGTGTTATGGACTTCAGCTCACACAATACGTAACAGTTGGGCACAAAGCAAGTTAACTGAAGGGTTAGCTTTATTTCATCACATAATAGTCGCACCCCACATTTTCTGGGATGGCAACGGTGGTATTTTTGTGTTCCTCGCATAAGAGTCGCAGAGCCACAGTTGATCACAAAGTACTTCAACTCCCACAATACCTGACAGTTGGTCAGAAAGCAAGTTAACTGAAGGGATAGCTTTATTTCATCGCATAATAGTCGCACCCCACATTTTCTGGGATGGCAACGGTGGCATTTTTGTGTTCCTCGCATAAGAGTCGCAGAGCCACAGTTGATCACAAAGTACTTCAWCTCCCACAATACCTYACAGTTGGTCAGAAAGCAAGTTAACTGAAGGGWTAGCTTTATTTCATCGCATAATAGTCGCACCCCACATTTTCTGGGATGGCAACGGTGGTATTTTTGTGTTCCTCGCATAAGAGTCGCAGAGCCATTTGGGACTTCTTCCCCCTTCCTTCCTATTGAATGTTAGATCTGAAGGTCTAATGCAGGCATGGGCAAACTTTGGCCCTCCCTCCAGGTGTTATGGACTTCAACTTCCACAATACCTAGCGGTTGGTCACAAAGCAAGTTAACTGAAGTGTTAACTTTATTTCATCACATAATAGTCGCACCCCACATTTTCTGGGATGGCAACGGTGGTATTTTTGTGTTCCTCGCATAAGAGTCGCAGAGCCACAGTTGATCACAAAGTACTTCAACTCCCACAATACCTGACAGTTGGTCAGAAAGCAAGTTAACTGAAGGGATAGCTTTATTTCATCGCATAATAGTCGCACCCCACATTTTCTGGGATGGCAACGGTGGCATTTTTGTGTTCCTCGCATAAGAGTCGCAGAGCCACAGTTGATCACAAAGTACTTCATCTCCCACAATACCTAACAGTTGGTCAGAAAGCAAGTTAACTGAAGGGTTAGCTTTATTTCATCGCATAATAGTCGCACCCCACATTTTCTGGGATGGCAACGGTGGTATTTTTGTGTTCCTCGCATAAGAGTCGCAGAGCCATTTGGGACTTCTTCCCCCTTCCTTCCTTGGATCCTGTCCCTCTGTGTATCCTTCCTTCCTTCCTCCTTGCGCTCCGGACCGAAGCCTCGTCCATTTCCTCCCCTCCTTGTTTACCACCCGTTTGCTCGTTTCCTGTCCAGCACAGCCTGGGGTCAAAGGTCAGCTTGGAATCAGAGAAAGTTGGACGTCTTTTGGGGGAGATCTATTTGGTGATACAGTTCTCCTTCTTCACCTGGTGCGTCCTTCTTTCCTTCCAGCACGCGTCTTCGGACGTAGAAAGGATGATCCTCGGCAACAAATGCGACATGAACGAGAAGAGGCAAGTTTCGAAAGAAAAAGGGGAGAAGGTAAGCCTTGCCGGATAAAGAACGGATCGCACGATGTGACGCGGTGTTTCTTACTGGGTCCTCCGTGTCGTTTCCTAATGGATTCTGTAATAAAAATATGGGAAGTTTGGCTCAATTTTATCGCTGGTGGGGTTCCGAATGCTCTTTGATTGCAGGTGAACTATAAATCCCAGCAACTACAACTCCACCAGTGTTCACATTTGGGCATATTGAGGATTTGTGCCAAGTTTGATCCAGATCCATCATTGTTTTGTTGATGTTGTGCCCTTCTTCGAGCTGCACGGAAATAAATGTATATTTATATATATTTACATAACCAATTTCTTCTTGTTCTTGTTCCTCTTCCATTCTCTTCTCCTTTCTTCCTCGTCTACTTTTTTTTCTTCTTCCTCCTCCACCTTCCTTTTCTTCTTCCTTCTTCCCACTCTTCTTCTTTTTCCTCTTTTTCTCCCTTTTCTTCTTTCTCTTATTCTCTCTTCCGCCTTCTTCCTCTTTTTCCTCCTCCTTCCTTTTCTTCTTCCTCCTCCTCCCTTTTTCTTCTTCCTCTTTTTCTTCATTTTCTTCTTCTTCCTCCTGCTTCTCCCTTTCTTTTTCTTCCTCAATGCCTTTCTCTTCTTCCTTGTCTTCTTCCTCCTCCTTCCTTTTCTTCTTCTCTTCTTCTTCCTCTTCCTTCTTCCTTTTCTTCTTCCTTCTTCCCCCTTCTTCTTTTTCCTCCTCTTCTTCTTCCCCTTCCTCTTTTTCTTCTTCTTCCTCCTCCCTCCCTTTTTTCTTCTTCCTCAATGCCTTTCTCTTCTTCCTTGTCTTCTTCTCTTCTTCTTTCTCTTCCTCTTCCTTCTTCCCCTTCTTCTTTTTCCTCCTCTTCTTTTTCCCCTTCATCTTTTTTCTCTTTTTCTTCTTCTTCCTCCTGCCTCCCTTCCTTCCTCTTCCTCAACTTCTTTCTCTTCTTCCTTGTCTTCTTCTTCCTCCTCCTTCCTTTTCTTTCTCTTCTCTTCTTCTTCCTCTTCCTTCTTCCTTTTCTCCTTCCTTCTTCCCCTTCTTCTTTTCCTCTTCTTCCTTCTGTTTCCCCTTTTTTTATTTTTCTTCCTTTTCTTCTTCTTCCGCCTCCTCCCTCCCTTCCTCTACTTCTTTCTTGTCTTCTTCCTCCTTCCTTTTCCTTTTCTTCTCTTCTTTCTATTCCGCTTCTTCCTTCTTCCTTTTCTTCTTTTTCTTCCTCTTCATCTTCTGCCCCCTCTTCCTCCTTCCTTCCTTTCTTCGTCTTCCTCAACTTCTTTCTCTCCTTTCTTGTCTTCTTCCTCCATCCTTTTCCTTTCCTTTTCTTCTTCCTCCTCCTTTTTCTTATTCCTCCTCTTCCTTTTCTTCTTTCTCTTCCTCCTCCTCCTCTTTCCTTTTCTTCCTCCTTCCTTTTCTTCTTCCTCCTCCCTTTTCCTTCTTCCTCTTTTTCTTCCTTTTCTTCTTCTTCCTCCTCCTTCTCCCTTTCTTCTTCTTCCTCAACGCCTTTCTCTTCTTCCTTGTTTTCTTCCTCCTCCTTCTTTTCTTCTTCTCTTCTTCTTTCTCTTCTTCTTCCTCCTCCTCTTCTTCTTCTGCCTCCTTCCTTCCTTTCTTCCTCTTCCTCAACTTCTTTCTCTCCTTTCTTGTCTTCTTCCTCCTCCTCCTTTTTCTTCTTCCTCCTCTTCCTTTTCTTCTTTCTCTTACTCTTCTTCTTCCTTTTCTTCTTCTTCATAAAACACTTCTCATCCTAGCAGTGGGCAAGAGGATGAGCACTTCTTGCGTGATGATATTATGCACACACTTCCCCAGAGACGAAAACAAGGCCGTTGTCCGCCATACATCTTCTCGGTTCTTTTCGCACGGGCTTCTCTCAAAGGCAGTTCTATTGACGTTGCTCTTTCCACAGAAGTGGATTGTGTCCCTTTCTTGTGTTGAAGCTGACATCCAGAGAGATGGATGAATCCTCTTTGTGCTTTTTTAACCCCCAAACTCTTTGCCCTCTTGCAGTTAGCAATCGACTACGGCATCAAGTTCCTGGAGACCAGCGCAAAGTCGAGCATCAATGTGGAAGAGGTAGGCGCACCTGAGATCGCCAGTGGACTCTTTGCCGGAATGTAACGTGATAGTGACGGATGGCATGCCTTCATCAATATGTCATAAGCAACATTCTCCTCGTATTCAAGTGGTGAACGGGTTCGGGAGTTCAGAGCTTGCCTTGGCTTAGCTAATCCTCCAGAGAATTGAGAGGAGACACGAGAGGAGCCGTGTGTAAATATGTGCAAGGGTGTCATAAAGAAGAGGGAGCAGGCTTCCTTTCTGCTGCCCTGGAGACTAGGGCTCAGTGGAGTCATGGGTTCAAATCCCAGGAAAGGAGATTCTACCTGAACATTATTTATTATTATTATTATTATTATTATCTTTATTTGTACCCTGCTAGCATCTCCCAAAGGACTCGATGCGGCTTCCAAAGGCCAAGGCCACAATACACAACATAACAAGACAGAACCGAAAGCAAATTAAAAACAATTAAAGCAATATTAAACAACAAAACAACAAGCAATAAACAATACACCAAAAACACAATAAAACTGGCCGGGCCAGAGTAATGGGTACAGAATTAAAAGTGTCGATGTGACAGGTGATACGTAAGGATTACAGGGCAAGTGCGGTGTGCGGCAATCTTAGTTCTAGTAAAGTGCTTCTGGGACTTGGTATTGGAGATTTCCTATTCGGGGAAGGCACATCGGAACAGCCAGGTCTTCAAGTTCTTTCTGAAGACTGCCAATGTAGGGGCCTGTCTAAGATCTTTGGGGAGGGTGTTCCAGAGTCAGGGGGCCACCACAGAAAAGGCCCTGTCTCGTGTCCCCACCAAACGCGCTTGCGACGCAGGCGGGATCACGAGCAGGGCCTCTCCAGATGAACGAAGTGAACGCATGGGTTCGTAGACGGAGATGCGGTCACGCAGGTAGGGTGGTCCCAAACCGTTCAGGGCTTTGTAGGTAAGCACCTGCACCTTAAATTGGGCTCGGAAAATAAACGGCAGCCAGTGGAGCTCCTTGAACAGGAGGGTTGACCTCTCTCTGTAAGGGGCCCCAGTTAACATCCTGGCCGCTGCTCGTTGGACCTTTTCAAGGGCAGCCCCACGTAGAGCGCATTACAGTAGTCCAATCTAGAGGTGACCAAGGCATGGACCACCCCAGCCAGATCAGCCTTTGCAAGGTATGGTCGCAGTTGGCACACGAGTCTTAATTGTGCAAAAGCCCTCCCAGACACCGCCAACGCCTGAGCCTCAAGCGTGAGCGATGAATCCAGGAGGACTCCCAAACTGCGGACCTGTGACTTCAGGGGAGTGCAACCCCGTCCAGCACAGGTTGCCACCCTATATCCCGGTCAGGTTTACGATTGACCAGGAGGACCTCTGTCTTGTCAGGATTGATCCTCAGCTTGTTCCTCCTCATCCAGACAGCCACAGCAGCCAGGCACTCGTCCAGCATTCGGAATTGGGTGGAAAGGAGTAGTAGAGTTGTGCGTCATCTGCGTAGAGATGGCACCCAACTCCAAAACTCCAGATGACCTCTCCCAGCGGTTTCATGTAGATGTTGAAAAGCATGGGAGACGGAATGGAGCCTTGCGGGACCCCACAGGTCAAAGGCCAGGGGTCCGAGCAGGCGTCTCCCAGCTTTAGATATTACTAGTGGTCCCCTGCCATGTGTTGCTGTGGCCCAGTCTGTTGATCTGGAAAATAAAGGGAATGAGAAAGTGTTGGTTTCGAATATATGTAATTTCTTTATGTTTGTGGGCAAACAGTATTTCTTGTTGTTCCTTTGTCAGTGTTGATGTGGAGAGGGTCTGGTTTGCCCACCCTGGAACATGCAACGTATAATTGTCCTTCTTCAGGGGTCCCTTTCAAATCTATGATACTATGTGTGTGTGTGTGAATCATATCTATCTCTATCTATGGCTGGATGACTCTTTGTCAGGAGGGCTTTGATTACGTTTTCTTGCCCTGGTGAAGAGAGTTGCTCTCGATGGCCTTGAGTATTTTCCATTGGTCATGGGGGGGAAGTTTGGCTCCATTCTGTCGTTGGTGGGGTTCAGAACACTCTTTGATAGGAGAACTGTAAATCCCAGTGACTACAACTCCCAAATGTCAAGGTCTATTTCTCCCAAACTCCATCTATGTTCATATTTGGCCATATGGAATATTCGTGCCAAGTTTGGTCCAGATCCATCATTGTTTGAGTCCATGGTAGTCCCTGGATGTAGGTGAACTACAACTCCCAAATTCAAGCTCACCAAACCCTTCTAGTATTTTCTGTTGGTCATGGAAGTCCTGTATGCCCCGGTTGGTTCAATTATATCATTGTATTTGATTGTAGATGAACTGTAAATCCCAGCAACTACATCTATCTATCTATCTATCTATCTATCTATCTATCTATCTATCTATCTATCTATCTATGGCTTGATGGCTCTTTGTCAGGAGGACTTTAATTACGTTTTCTTGCCCTGATGAAGAGAGTTGGATTGGATGGCCTTAAGTATTTTCTGTTGGTCAGGGGGGTTCTATGTCGGAAGTTTGCCCCAATTCTGTTGTTCATGGGGTTCAGAATGCTCTTTGATTGTAGGTGAACTGTAAATCCCAGTGACTACAACTCCCAAATGTCAAGGTCTATTTCCCCCAAACTCCGTGTTCATATTTGGGCTTATTGAGTGCTTGTGCCAAGTTTGGTCCAGATCCATCATTGAGTCCACAGTGCTCTCTGGATGAAGGTGAACTACAACTCCCAAACTCAAGGTCAATGCCCATCAAACCCTTCCAGTATTTTCTGTTGGTCATGGCAGCTCTCTGTGCCAAGTTTGGTCTAATTCCATCGTTGATGGAGTTCAGAATGCTCTTTGATTGTAGGTGAACAATAAATCCCAGCAACTACAACTCCCAAATGACAAAATCACAATTTTTTGAGTGATGGTCACTCCTTGTGTTGTGAGTCATTTTGTTGCCAAATTTGGTGTGATTTCGTTCATTGGTTCTTTTGTTTTTAAGGTACTCATTATGCACTGAGCATTTATATATATATAGATTATATTGCATTTCCTTACCTTTCTCTCCTTCTTTCCCTCCTTCCTTCTCTACCTCTTTCCTTCCTCCCCCTTTTTCTTTTCTTTTCCCTTTTCTATCCTTTCTTCCTTCTTTCCTTCCTTTCTTCCTTCGCTCTTTGCTTCCTTCCTTGCTTCTTTCTTTCTTTCTTTCTCCCCCTTCCCTCCTTCCTTCCTTTTTTCTGTACTGTCATTTAGCTTTTTGTCATTTAGCTTTTTGGGGTTTAGTCCTTTCCACTGCTTTTTTTTTTGGGTGGGGTTTATGAGTGATGGTCACTCGTTGGTCCGTTAGGGGTATAGTGTCCAAATTTCATGTCAATTCGTCCAGTGGTTTTTGAGTTACGTTAATTCCACAAATGGACATTACATTTTTATTTATATAGACTAGCCGTCCCCTGCCAGGTGTTGCTGTGTCCCACATGGGGTTCTGTGTCGGGGGTTTGGCCCAATTCTATCATTGGTGGGATTCAGAATGCTCTGTGATTGTACGTGAACTATAAATCCCAAAACTTTGATTTTTGCTGATCAAAGTTTTTCTTGATCTTATATGTAATGTATCACATGTGTATATTGTAAACCGCTCCGAGTCTTCGGGGAGTGGCGGCATATGAAATTGATAAATAAATAAACAGATAAACTACAACTCCCAAATGTCAAGATTCTATTTTCCCCAAACTCCACCATTGTTCACATTTGGGCATATTGAGTATTCGTGTAGAGTTTGGTCCAGATCCATCATTGTTTGAGTCCACAATGATCTCTAGATGTAGGTGAACTACAACTCCAAAACCAAAGGTCACTGCCCACCAAACCTTCCAGTATTTTCTGTTGGTCATGGGAGAACTGTGTGTCAAGTTTGGTTCAATTCTATTGTTGGTGGGGTTCAGAATACTCTTTGATTGTAGGTGAACTATAAATCCCAAATGACAAAATCATTTTTTTTTTAGTGAAGGACATACGTTGGGTTGTTAGGTGTCTTGTGTCCAAATTTGGTGTCAATTCATCCAGTGGTTTTCTGAGTTCTGATAATCCCACAAACGAGCATGACATTTTTATTTATATAGATAAGCAAAACTCTTCTGTACTTTCTAAGTAAAGGACCACACAATTAAACAGGAAATGACACTTACAAACCAGGAAGAGATTTTTTTTTCAGATGTAGTTGCATAGTATTATAGAGTTTTTAGTGTTTACTTCCTTTAGCATTTCACCACTTTATTATCACGATTTATTTTAAAAAAATTGCTTTTATTGCTTGGATATCAATTAAATGAATACATAAAAGTGACCAGTGTGCGCTCTCACCCGGTTGCCTTTGTCTGATCCCTCTTTTCTCTTCTTTCAGGCGTTCTTCACTCTCGCACGGGACATTATGACAAAACTCAACAGAAAAATGGTTTGTCCTTCTCCTTCTTTGCAAACTTGCTCTGTTTGGCTTTTGGGCCTAGCCTTTGCCACACGACAAAATCCTGGGAGGTGGTCGTGGTGGTGGTGGGGTTCTGCTTGTTATAATGAGCTTTCTCATAAGAATATCCCACTGAACACATTTAGTGCCCAAAGAGGTGCATTTTGCATTTGTGGGTCAACCTTGGAGGCATCCAAACACATAATAATAATAATAATAATAATAATAATAATAATAATAATAATAGCAACAACAACAACACTTTATTTATACCCCGCTACCATCTCCCCAAGGGACTCAGTGCGGCTTACATGAGGTTTTTGGGTGCATCAGCAGGCTAGGTCTGGGGGGCGGGGAGGAGGGGTCGCAGTAGTCTTTCGGCAGTCTATCGCCGTGGTCAGATGAGCCATTCCGCAATCTTCTGGGTTTGAGTGTGTTCACTTGAGAGTGGGAAACCGTGGTAGCTTGGGGATTCTGCTGGTGTACCGCCCACCCCGCGACTCAGCAGTTTCCCTGCCTGAGCTAGCAGATGTGGTCTCCAATTCGGCCCTGGTCTCCCAGCACTCGATTGTGCTGGGAGACTTTAACATCCATGCAGAGACCTCTTTAACCGTGGTAGCTTGGGGATTCTGCTGGTGTACCGCCCACCCCGCAACTCAGCAGTTTCCCTGCCTGAGCTACCAGATGTGGTCTCCAATTCGGCCCTGGTCTCCCAGCACTCGATTGTGCTGGGAGACTTTAACATCCATGCAGAGACCTCTTTAACCGTGGTAGCTTGGGGATTCTGCTGGTGTACCGCCCACCCCGCAACTCAGCAGTTTCCCTGCCTGAGCTACCAGATGTGGTCTCCAATTCGGCCCTGGTCTCCCAGCACTCGATTGTGCTGGGAGACTTTAACATCCATGCAGAGACCTCTTTAACCGTGGTAGCTTGGGGATTCTGCTGGTGTACCGCCCACCCCGCAACTCAGCAGTTTCCCTGCCTGAGCTACCAGATGTGGTCTCCAATTCGGCCCTGGTCTCCCAGCACTTGATTGTGCTGGAAGACTTTAACATCCATGCAGAGACCTCTTTAACAGGATTTCATGGTCGCCATCAGGCTGGACATACACTCGACCTAGTTTTTGTTGCGGACAGTGGAACGGTCAGAGTGGAAGAGCGAAACATTCTTCCATTGTCATGGTCTAACAACACAGCTTCACGTGTTCCTGTTTGCAGTGGCATGTTGCTTTGGTTCTCTCTCTCTCTGACAAATGGCACCAAGAAGGTTATGTGTAAAAGTCACACATTGCACGGAAACACCACAAAAAGGCCACATCTCTTTTGCATGGATTTTGCCTTTGAGTAGGGTCAAGGTACGCAAAGCGTCAGGATCCCCACGGGTTCAAAAGATAGCGTATTTCCTCGAGACTGGTGCATCGTCAAAACTCGTGCGTACTTCCATTTTCAAAGCCCTAAAAACAAAAGAAAAAAAAAAAAGGATTTGCTGTCGAATGGAATGCACAAAAGCTGCAAAAGAGCACTCTGTGTAATTTGGCCCCAAAAAGGTGCACATTGGGTTAGAATTCCTTTTTTGAAACACAAAAGTGTTAGATCACTAATGGAAACGAAAAGCTTGGGGTGCATTGATGGTGTAGAATGAACCCACTTTCATTGCCTTGGTTCAATGCTATGGCGTCATGGGGGTTGTTGTTTGGGTGCCTCGCATCCAGAGACGCCCCTAGATAATTTTCAACGGTAAGCAAACAATATTTTGCCCCCCCCCCACCCCCACCAATCCCTTTTTTTTTCAGATATAGTTTTGTTGCTAAATGTCCCACTTCCCTGTCTTAAATGAGACTCAGATAAGCCAGTTTGTGACCAGACAGGATCTTTGGCCCATTCTCCACCAAACTCTGCTGTTTTGGGCTTCTCCCCAAAGCCTTTGCTCCTTCATATCCATCTTTTCCTTCTCCTTTCTCGCTCTTTTTCTCCTTGTCTCCCCTTTCAGAACGACAACAGTCCGGCGGGCGCCAGCGGTCCGGTGAAAATCACAGAAAACAGATCAAAGAAGAGCAGCTTCTTTCGGTGCACGCTGCTTTGATGAACTCCTAATCCTATCATAGACTGCCGCATACCTAGAACGAAGGAACGAAAGAACGAACAAACAGAAAACCCACCCCAACCACCCTTTTCTGCTTCCCAGCGCCTGCTGCTGAGAGCTCTGTGGGAGACGTAGAGCGCGCTAAGGCCCAGGGCATGGATTTGAGTCGGGACGCGGCCGTGAAGCCTTCCTTCCTCTCAAAGCTGCGCAGTCGAGGGAGAGAAAGAGAGCGACGCACACCTTCTTCCTTCTTGTCCTCTTCCTTCACCATCCCCACTTGGTTTCACTGCCTGCTTCCAAAGCTGCTCAGTTGTCTTGTTTTGTCTCCTTTGCACACCTTCTGTTGCCTCCACAGTCTTAACACTGGGTGTGTGTGTGTGTGTGTGTGTTGCACAGCTTTTTTTTTTTCCTCCTTGGGAGTTTGGTAACCGATCCACGGTTTGTGTTCTTTTCCAGCCGTAAAAGGATCAGGACGGATCTCTCTCCCGCCTTTCTTGGGCCTCCTCGATGCTCCCGCCATTGTTGTTGTTGTTGTTGCCGCCACCACAACGGGGCCCAGAGGGATTCCAGCCGATGCGCACTTCCTATATTATTACAGCCACACCGTTCTCTTCTTACACACCGTTTACGTTAGCCAGAATTTGAATGACAACTGGGCGCATTCTATACAACTGGGCTCAGTCTATAGCATATTTCAGTGAGATTGATATAGAATTGGGCTCATTCTATAGGTGAAGGTTATATAGAACTGGGCTCAGTCTATAACATATTTCAGTGAGATTGATATAGAACTGGGCTCATTCTATAGGTGAGGGTTATATAGAACTGGGCTCAGTCTATAACATATTTCAGTGAGATTGATATAGAATTGGGCTCATTCTATAGGTGAGGGTTATATAGAACTGGGCTCAGTCTATAACATATTTCAGTGAGATTGATATAGAACTGGGCTCATTCTATAGGTGAGGGTTATATAGAATTGGGCTCATTGTATAGGCGAGATTTAAGTGAGGTTTATATAGAACCGGGCTCAATCTGTAAGTGAGGTTTGTATAGAACTGGGCTCAGTCTGTAAGATATTTCAGTGAGATTAGTATAGAACTGGGCTCATTGTATAGGTGATATTTAAGTGAGGTTTATATAGAACCGGACTCAATCTGTAAGCGAAGTTTGTATAGAACTGGGCTCAGACTATAACATATTTCAGTGAGATTGATATAGAACTGGGCTCATTTTATAGGTGAGGGTTATATAGAATTGGGCTCATTCTATAGGTGAGGTTTATATAGAACTGGGCTCAGTCTATAACATATTTCAGTGAGATTGTTGCTCATTCTATAGGTGAGGTTTATATAGACCTAGGCTCAGTCTAACATATTTCAGTGAGATTGATATAGAACTGGGCTCATTCTATAGGTGAGGGTTATATAGAACTGGGCTCAGTCTATAATATATTTCACTTAGATTGGTGCTCATTCTATAGGTGAGGTTTATATAGACCTGGGCTCAGTCTATAACATATTTCAGTGAGATTGATATAGAACTGGGCTCATTCTATCGGTGAGGTTTATATAGAATTGGGCTCATTCTATAGGTGAGGTTTATATAGAACTGGGCTCAGTCTAGAACATATTTCACTGAGATTGGTGCTCATTCTATAGGTGAGGTTTATATAGAATTGGGCTCAGTCTATAGCATATTTTGGTGAGATTGAGTTCAAACTGGGCTCATTCTATAGGTGAGATTTAAATGACACTTATATTGGACTGGGCTCAGTCTATAGCATATTTCAGTGAAATTTCTATAGAACTGGGCCCATTCTATAGGTGAGATTTAAATGAGGTTTATATTGAACTGGGCTGAGTCTATAGCATATTTCAGTGAGATTTCTATAGAATTGGGCTCATTCTATAGGTGAGTTTTAAATGAGGTTTATATTGAACTGGGCTCAGTCTATAGCATATTTCAGTGAGATTTCTATAGAACTAGGCTTAACTTGGAAGTGAGATTTCTATAGAAGGTTGCTCATTCTATAAGTGGGGTCTATATAGAACCAGGCTCAATCTGTAGGTGAGATTGTTAGAGAATTGTGCTCAGTCTATAACTAAGATTTCAGTGAGATTGACCTAGAACTGGGCCCAGTCTATAAGAAATTTATATACAACTAGAATCATCCTATAAGTGACGTTTATATAGAATTGGGTTCAACCTGTAAGTGAGGCTGATATAGAACTAGGCTCATCCTATATGCGAATTGTGCTCAGTCTGTGAGATTGACATCGAACTGGGTTCCTTCTATAAGCAAGGTTATCCATAGCGCAGCATATGCCTCCTGTGTCAGCAAGACGTATACGGAGCGGCCCAGTCTTGGGGGCTCGGTGTCGGCGACCTCCACGCTTCCCGTTAGTTTTGGTCGGGCTCAAAACGCTCTCCTCCATTGGCATCGAAACAACATTTTTCTTCCTGAAAGTGGAGCGTCGCTTTCCCCTTCCTTCCATCCCTGTCTCACCTATGACTTTTCCCTTTAATTCCTACCAAACCCCGAGTTGTTTGCTCAGAGTCTCAAATAACGGCCTCCTGGTCCTGGCGAATATTGATAGAGGAGGCTCGCTTTGGTCCCTGCAGATATGTGTGAGCTCGTTCTGCAGGCGAGGCCTTAGAGGGAGTGAATTCAGATCCGATCAGACTTGCGGGGAGAGAGCTGCCTTTCTTGCTCGTCTCCGATTCTCCATAAAAGGAGGGGTATTAAAACGGGTGCTTTAACTTGACTGATGTGCCAAACAACGGACTCTCTGCAAAAAAAAAGCAAACCTTTAGGGACCACTTTATATCCACAACTAAGGGTCACTTAACGGGTGAAATATTGGTCTTGGCTGTGTCTCTCACATTGGAAATCAAAACAAAGTCGTTTGGGTCTCTTTTAGGTTGTTTCCCTCCAAACTAGAGAAGGAAAAAAGAGTATTGGAGAGCATTAAAGCGGCAAAATTCTTGACCCTAGGTTGAACTTCAATGTCCGAACACAAGTGCTTTCTTCTTCCGCCGATGAATGTCCCTCCTTCCGCTTTAATCACCTCCGACTTGGGATTGTATTCTTATGTTGTGCTTTCTCTCTTTGGTCCCTTCTACGCCTCTTTGGGGTTTTTTTTTCTTTCTGTTTTTTTGTTTGTTTGTTTTGCTCTGTTTTTCTTCCATTTCCTGTGTGCGGAGGCTTCGTCTCTATGAACTTCTTCCCTCCCTTTGAGAGAGAAAGAGAGAAAAGCTCTGGCCGGAAACGGGTCTCACAAAGCGCTTCGTGAAGCAGCAGCGGGAAATCGGGGCGGGATATTTACTCGTGGTTTTATTCAAAAGAGAGAAGAAACTTTGCTATTTTCTTACTTCTACCTGTGCTATAAAAATAAATAAATAAAATTGTACATACTTTTTTTTTTTTTGAGTTAGGACCACAGGGGGAAAAAAATCACTTTTTAAGGTTGCTGAAAGGATGCCACTCGCACACAACTAAGAGTTCATTTCATGTTTGTTAATGGGGTTTTTTCCACCCCGCGATTGTCTGTTCCTTGCTGAAATTTCATAAATATCTGTTTCCAAAAAGACGTGTTTGTTTTTAGCCCGCGGCTTAGCAGGATCCAAAGCCAGATGTTTGGAGATTTGTTGGTTTTAGACCAGGCGCAGGCAAACTTGGGCCTTTCCGGGTGTTTTGGACTCCAATTCCCACAATTCCTAACAGCTTCAGGCCACTTCCTTTTCCTTTAATTTATATTTTTTTTCAATTCAATTTCTATTTTAAATGTTTCTTATGGAACGATAAATCTTTTTGGTGGTACACCTTTATTAGCCCTTTCTGACTTTCTAACTATTTCACTTCCACCAACTCTTAAAATAAAATAAAATAAAATTTTCATTGTTTTTATTAGTTTCTTTTGTTTTTACACTTGAACTCGGAATTTCTAGTTTTCCTTCTTTTGTCTGTACTATTTCTATTTCAGTATCAATTTCTTCATTTCGAGATCTTTCACTTTTAGTTTTTCTTGAGGCTCAACACGTAGAAATGGTAGAAATACTTTGTTTTGATGTGTATTTTCCCAATTCAGAGTACTATTTCTATTTCTGTATCAATTTCTTCATTTCGAGATCTTTCACTTTTAGTTTCCCTTTCCTGAGGCTCAACACGTAGAAATGACAACAATTATACAGTAAAATAATAAGTGTATAATAATAGAGTAAAATGATAAATATAATAATAACAAATAGAATAAAATAATAAATGACATTAAAATAATAATAATAATAATAACAGAGTAAAATAATAAATAACCTTGGGTTGTTGTAGGTTTATATGGCCATGTTCTAGAGGCATTCTCTCCTGACGTTTCGCCTGCATCTATGGCAAGCATCCTCAGAGGTAGCGAGGTCTGTTGGAACTAGGAAAAAGGGTTTATATATCTGTGGAATGACCAGGGTGGGACAAAGGACTCTTGTCTGCTGGAGCTAGGTGTGAATGTTTCAACTGACCACCTTAATTAGTGGGTTGTTGTAGGTTTTTTGGGGCTATATGGCCATGTTCTAGAGGCATTCTCTCCTGACGTTTCGCCTGCATCTATGGCAAGCATCCTCAGAGGTAGTGAGGTCTGTTGGAACTAGGAAAAAGGGTTTATATATCTGTGGAATGACCAGGGTGGGACAAAGGACACTTGCCTGCTGGAGGTAGGTGTGAATGTTTCAACTGACCACCTTAATTAATGGGTTGTTGTAGGTTTTTTTGGGCTATATGGCCATGTTCTAGAGGCATTCTCTCCTGACGTTTCGCCTGCATCTATGGCAAGCATCCTCAGAGGTAGCGAGGTCTGTTGGAACTAGGAAAAAGGGTTTATATATCTGTGGAATGACCGGGTTGGGACAAAGAACTCCTGTCTGTTGGAGCTAGGTGTGAATGTTTCAACTGACCACCTTAATTAGTGGGTTGTTGTAGGTTTTTTTGGGCTATATGGCCATGTTCTAGAGGTATTCTCTCCTGACATTTCGCCTGCATCTATGGCAAGCATCCTCAGAGGTAGTGAGGTCTGTTGGAACTAAGAAAAAGGGTTTATATAGCTGTGGAACGACCAGGGTGAGACAAAGGACACTTGCCTGCTGGAGGTAGGTGTGAATGTTTCAACTGACCACCTTAATTAATGGGTTGTTGTAGGTTTTTTTGGGCTATATGGCCATGTTCTAGAGGCATTCTCTCCTGACGTTTCGTCTACATCTATGGCAAGCATCCTCAGAGGTAGTGAGGTCTGCTGGAACTAGGAAAAAGGGTTTATATATCTGTGGAATGACCAGGGTGGGACAAAGGACTCTTGTCTGCTGGAGCTAGGTGTGAATGTTTCAACTGACCACCTTGATTAACATTCTATGGCCTGGCAGTTTTTTGGTGTGGTCGTTGTATTGTCAAAGGCTTTCATGGCCGGAATCACTGGGTTGTTGTAGGTTTTTCAGGCTATATGGCCATGTTCTAGAGGCATTCTCTCCTGACGTTTCGCCTGCATCTATGGCAAGCATCCTCAGAGGTAGTGAGGTCTGTTGGAACTAGGAAGGGTTTATATATCTGTGGAATGACCAGGGTGGGACAAAGGACTCTTGTCTGCTGGAGCTAGGGGTGAATGTTTCAACTGACCACCTTAATTAATGGGTTGTAGGTTTTTCCGGGCTATATGGCCATGTTCTAGAGGCATTTTCTCCTGACATTTCGCCTGCATCTATGGCAAGCATCCTCAGAGGTAGTGAGGTCTGTTGGAACTAAGAAAAGGGGTTGATATATCTGGAATGACCAGGGTGGGACAAAGGACTCTTGTCTGCTGGAGCTAGGTGTGAATGTTTCAGCTGACCACCTTACTTAGTGGGTTGTTGTAGGGTTTTTTGGGTTATATAGCCATGTTCTAGAGGCATTCTCTCCTGACGTTTCGCCTGCATCTATGGCAAGCATCCTCAGAGGTAGTGAGGTCTGTTGGAACTAGGAAAAAGGGGTTTATATATCTGTGGAAAGACCAGGGTGGGACAAAGGACTCTTGTCTGCTGGAGCTAGGTGTGAATGTTTCAACTGACCACCTTGATTAGCTGGGATTTATAGTTTTTTTCGGGCTACGTAGCCATGTTCTAGAGGCATTCTCTCCTGACGTTTCGCCTGCATCTATGGCAAGCATCCTCAGAGGTAGTGAGGTCTGTTGGAAAGGAAAAATGCCTCTAGGAATGACCAGGGTGGGAAAAAGGACTCTTGTCTGCTGGAGCTAGGGGTGAATGTTTCAACTGACCACCTTGATTAGCATTTGATAGCCTGGAAGTGCCTGTATTTTTCCATTTCCAATTCTTCTTTATTGTTTAGTTTAGCTTTATTGGTAATAACAATTCGTCCTCGTCCTAATCAAAACGGTATCGTTTTTGATACCCAACGAAACAACATCTTCTCCACGTTTACTCCCCAGGAATTACGACATTGGCATAACATTTTGAGATTCTTACGCTTTGGTTTCTTGCCAGGCATTTTGTAAAATGGGAGGTTCATTTTCACCGGAGGCCCGTACTCTGTTAATAACGTGGTTTGCAGTTACTACTGCCTCTTCCCCTCAACTAAATTGTGATTTATACTATATGGTAGGCGTGTGCAATCCATGGTTCTAAAGTACTTACAAAATTAAAGTTCTGGTGGTGAAAACTAGGGAGCGCTGGTGCTTTAACTTCTACTATATTGCTAAAGTTCTGGTGGTGAAATTTCAGAACTCTTAACAAAACTTTCAAAATTTCATTATAAACTAGCCGTCCCCTGCCACGCGCTGCTGTGGCCCACTTTGGTGGTCATGAGGGTTCTGTGTGGGAGGTTTGGCCCAATTCTATCGTTGGTGGGGTTCAGAATGTTCTGTGATTCTAGGTGAACTATAAATCCCAGGAACTGGAACTCCCAAATGTCAAGATTCTATTTTCCCCAAACTCCACCAGTGTTCACATTTGGGCATATTGAGTATTCGTGTAGAGTTTGGTCCAAATCCATCATTGTTTGTCTCCAAAGTGATCTCTGGATGCAGGTGAACTACAACTCCCAAACTCAACATCAATGCCCACCAAACCCTTCTAGTGTTTTCTGTTGGTCATGGGAGTCCTGTGTGCCACATTTGGTTCAATTCCATCATTGGTGGAGTTCAGAATGCTCTTTGATTGTAGGTGAACTATAAATCCCAGCAGCCACAACTCCCAAATGTCAAGGTCTATTTTCCCCAAACTCCACC